CTTTAATAATAGATGAATGGTGACAAGAAAAAGAGAGGGACAGAGAGAGAGAGAGAGAGGGAGAGAGAGAGAGGGAGAGAGAGAGCATTGGATTGAGAGGAGCAGAAAAAGACAGACCGAGAAGCAGGACTGGTCAGCTGAAAGACAACTCAAGAGAAGAGGGGTGTTGTGATACAGGAAATGGTTTGAGAGGAAGAGACAGGGAGAAACAGAGAAAGACCACAACAGTCCATTAGAGTGCAACTGACAGAGAAAATGTTGTGATTTTCCAAAAGAAGAGGAAGAGAGAAAAGCAGACAGAGAGATGGCTAATGAGGAAAAATGAGAGCGATAGAGAGATGGACAGAGAAGGGAAGAGAGGGAGAGGGAGAGTGAGAATGTGAGGAGTGAAAGAGGTGAGTGACTTGTTGGTAGAGCTTCGTTGGCTCACTGATGGAGGACCTGTCTAACACACACACACACATACATTGTGCAGTGCATCGGTGACTTTGCAGCAAGGCTAGAGTTACTGATAATGTTTATATTTCATAGCCAAGGTCTATGGGATGTGGTATACACATGCGTGCACAAACACACACACTGCGTCTCTTTCCCTTTTTCTCGCTCAAAAACACACATATATCTCACGCAGCCACCCACTAATACCACAGCCATCCACCTTTATAGTAAATCTTGTGGGTGATGGAGCCGGCACTCCGAGACAAACACATTTATCTTTATTTTGCACTGACTATTGGTAGAACTTTTCAGGATATTTTGTTTTGAGTAAGAAAGTCAAATTTATGGATATATATACATCCAGGTGAATTTTTTCTCCTGTTTCTTTTATTTTCTTTCTTGTCACTCTAGGTAGATAGATTATGGCACTGGATTATTACAGAATAATGGAGCAAAGGCAATACTGGACATAATATTTGAGAGTTTATAAATAATAAATAATGTTTTGGCCAATATTATTTAAACACATAAAATTTTCTCTAAATGTATTTATTATGGTAAATACTTTTTATAGTATGAACTTTTATAGTTGTATGTAATGGCGATACTGTTACTAAATGTATGGCAAACATATCTCTTTCTGTACTAAAATGTCTTGTTACTCATCAGTCGACATGTAGTTATACACCAGTATATCTGTGACGAGCCTAAAATATAAACCAGCCAATCTAATGAACACCTACACACCATTTTTCCGGCATTTGCTTATGCTGGTAGGATGAATAAGGTATGAATGTATTATTCAGTGTTAAAATGATATTGAATATTTGTACTACTGTAGTGAATATAGACAGCTAAATCCCTGCAAATAAAAGCACATCAAACTACCATGCTCGCACAATGGAGTATTATTATAAGCATGGATGCATTTAAATGGTGGTTTTCTCCATTAATTTTTCTATTGATATGCAGGGGGAAATTACTCAGGAGAAAGGAATCTGGATTTGTGCAGCTACTGTGCAGTTCCTTAGCAGATGCAATTTATGAATTCAACTTACAGTTCTTTATCTAATCATGTGTTTAAAAATATTGCAAGGTTTGGAACTGATTTTAGCTCATACTACTACTACAAAATAAATCAAACAGGAAGACTATAGTGTGAGAGTTCCTTTAAGAGTGAAATATTTCAAATAACTTTGTACAATACAAGCATTAAGTGCACATATAATATACAACAAAAAACAACACACAAAAAACCTTCAATTGAATTGGACTCTCTCTTCTTGTAATTGCCATTTAGTGACTGTATCATTTGAACTTCACACTGAAATTCAAGGACTGTAAAAGGGCAAGGATATATAAAAACAATGTGTCATAGTCCCATCACTTCTGGAACTCACTGCATTACCAAACTCAGCACTGTGACCTCATTACGACAATAAATCCACGGATGATGACACCCAAATGAGGCACACAAAGTTCATTTCTGCAGCAAAGCTCACCTCTCTGTGTTTCATGGACTGTAATCAAATCCACAGTACATCTATCAATAGAGAACTCTGGAAAGGTTAATATTTTAGTACAGCAGTAGTTTTAGTAGTAGTTTTTATTCTATAAAAACAGCTTTTAATTCATATTAATATGAAGGTCAGGTGTTACTAGAGAAACATTTATTTAAAAAAGAAAAAAAAGAAATTGACACTTAAAAGCTGAAGAATAATAAAATAGACTGTAATTTTGAGTTTTTTTTTTGTCTGACCAAGATAATTTGCCTTTTCCATGTGAAAAAATAAATTCCAAGTGAAAATAGACCACAAGGGCAAATCCTTCACATAAAAATCTAACCCAATATGCATCCCAAAATGCCAGAGGCAGTAGGATCACACTTCGACTAATCTGACTGGAAGGCACTTGGGTTGATCACTACTTGTTCTGATGCTGACTGATTGGGGATTGACCTGTAATGATCTGTGGAGCTTCTAGGGGTTTAAGACAAGATAGCGCTGCCTCTGGCCCTCTCATCCACACCATACATATCACACAGTCACACACAGGCACCACCCAGAGATGTGGATATCTTTTTCATACAAAAATCAATCAATGAAAGAAATTCATTCATTTGTGCATTTTAGCAGCTCTTGGTAAATGTAATTCCTTCAAGTTGTTCCGTGTCCAATACATATAATTTGTTTCAGTTTTCCAAGGTGTTTATATTTAAAGTGAGAGTATGTAGGTTTGCTCAACAGTAACAAAAACTGCAGGTCCTTGAATGCCCACTCGAGGCTGGCTGCAAGTGAGTTGATCTTCATAATCCCCCATATTACAATGTCCAACTTCACAGCAGAAATAAACATATTTACAGCGTGGTTCATAACTCACCTGTTTAAATTATATTAAGGCTTAAAGTTATGTGTGATTGAGGCCGTGGCTGCTTTGATTAACAGGTGGGTGCTGGCTCAAGTGGCTGGTTTCAGTAACTAAGCTTCTTTAGGCCCGCTTCAGCTCAGACCACGTTCCACGTCTCTGCCCATTGTTGGATTAGCCAGTCACCACACTTTGAGCTTCATAACAGCTCTTCAGAAACCTATAGGTGATGTCCCGGTGGCTCCGTCCGCCATTTATGATACAGTCTATGGTGACATGCTAAATCATGCCATTACTGTAACAAAATTAGTAAACAGGTCAAAGGTCAGTGAATTGACTAGGAAATGTTAGTTATACAGCAATATCTTAAGTTTTCTAAAATTAGCAAATATAACATAGCATGAGCCACTGGTCATACCCAAGCCCCCAGGAACAGAGCTGGAATATGAAGTGATTTTGGCCTAGTAATGCAAAATCACCCCAAAAAGCATTTTTTCCATCCACCATCACTTGAAAACCATCGTCTATAAACTGGTGAATATTTGATAATAACTTTTTTCTCATCTTCTCTCTTTTAAAAAAAAAAACATACTTTTTTCTTACCTTTATAGTTGATCTTAAATCCTATAGAGCCGACACTCTCATCTGACTGTAGGTGAAGCCACATCTGGTGAGTCATGCTGACTATTAGGTCAGGAACAAAACTACCTGATAGGCTGGGGCAGAAAATGCATAACTATTTAATCATTGTCATCATAATTACCATTTTAAAAAGTATAATTTTCATCATTGCAATCATAGCCATAATCAAATTCTCAAGTGCCGCTCTGAGTGTGAACAAATTACTGGAGCATACTGCACTGGAGTTGAATGAATTGGTTTAGTTTGCTATGGTTTTGCAGAATGCTCCTGCAGGAAAGCAAATTGCTCAGAGTACATTCATACTATCCAGCTTTTTTCTTCATACTGCCAGCGGCTTTTAGGCAGAAAGTTAAACAGTGACCGACTCCAAAGTGAATTGAAATCACCCACTTTGCATCTGTTATCCTTTTGGGCACTGCAGTGCATTTTCAAAATTCAAGAACAGTTCATCTTTTTAAGTGGAGCACACATAATGCTGACTGCCGTTTTACGATCTGTCTAATATGCGACAAAGAAGATGGAAGGATTTCAGGCTAGCTGGCAGCATAATGAAACAAGTACAAGAAGAAAACTTGGTAGTACTTTTTGCTTTGATAATTTAAACTTTATGTAGAACACGTTAACTGTTGTGAAGCACTTGATCAACGGTGCTGCTCACGAGAGCAGCTGGTCATTGTGTTGCACAATCTGCACAGCACATTTTCTGAAAGTTATTACATTAATCTTCAAGGAGTGTATCTATTGACATTACTTTGTTGAAGCTGTTTTGTTGCCATAATCAGCCTGATATGACAACAAGTTAAACCAATGATACCTATTTCCAACTTAAAACTTATTTACAAGCAGCGGATGTACTATTCTATGTGACAACCACCACCACCACTCATGTTGACATTAATAGATGATGACATGATATGATGATGAATAATGGAGTAAAGTCACATTTCTATACATATATTATATTAGGTTTTTCATTGAGGGTATTACAGTCTGTCTACATTTGACATACTGTAACAGATCCTAAGACTGTGATACTTACACCTGTAGTATTGTCGTAGGATCGCCCACCTCTCCTCCATCTCCTATAGTCAGAGTATCATAGGCTATCTCCAGGTCAAACTCTTCAAAGTTGATCTGGATTACCTAAAGTAAACACGCAAAAACACAGACACATACATGTCAGTTTCACAAGCTCAACCCAGTCAAAGTCAGTCCAAAGACAAAACATTAGAGACATCATAACTTTGGAGTATATAGAGTTTATAAGGAATACGTATTGATCCCAGTTTAAGAACCAGTTTAAAGGATGTAGAACTGGGCCATGATCATGATGTCGACGGTATTACAACTTTAAAATCATTATAATTATAATAATTACCTTTTTTCTCAATATATATATATATATATA